AGTTCGAGTCCCGGACCTGGTGGCTTAAACTCATCCCAGGTGTTGTGTGTGTGTGTGCGTGTGTGTGTGTGTGTGTGTGTGTATACCCAAGATCCCAAGAGGAGAAACGAGGAGAAGAGATTGTGGCGTGGTCATCCACCCTGTGGGATAATTTCTCACTTCCTGTCTCTCTGTCTCTCTGTCTTTCTGGTGAACGCACATGCCTTATAGCAAAAACCTCTCAAAAAAAAAGAAAAGAAAAAAAAGAAAGAAAGAATTATAGATTTACAGCAAAGTTACAAAGAGAATATAAAGTTGCTATATATGCCTCATCCCGTTTCAGTTTCCACTAATGTTATCATCTTATGTTACCACGACACATTTGAGCTAAGAAACCAGCATTGCTGTAGGACGATTAGTTGAACTCCAGGCATTATTGGTTCTCTGCCAGTGTTTTTTGTTTTTGTTTTATTTTTCTTTTCATTCATATCCTTTTTCTGTTCCAGAAAAACTGTGACCATTTCTCGGTCTTGTTTTTCATGACCTTGTCAGTTCGAAGTCCAGTGTTGTGTAGAATCTCTCTGAGTTTGGGCTGTCCAATATTTTCTTCATGCTTAGACTATGGCTTTGGAGAGAATACCCCCCAGGGAGGGTCAGTGCCCTCATCTCGCCACGTCTGTGGGTACTTCATGATATTCTGGGGACCTGATGAGTGATGTTACCTGGCACACCTTCAAATGCAGTAGCCCTTTGTGTGACTCTGTCGTAGGTTAGTCACTCCACAGTCGAAGGACATCAGGATTGTTTTCAGCTTGTGGCGATTGTAAAGAAAGCCTCTATAAAAATTTACATACAGCTTTTTCCATGAACATGCATTTTTCTTTTACGTGGATAAACTCCTAGGAGTGAGTAAGATTGTTGAGTCATGTGACAAGTTTGTGTGTTTAACATAAAACTGTTAAACAAAGTGAAGGTACCAATTTAAATTTCAAGTGGCATTTTTCTTTGAGAGATTTTTTTGCTATAGGGTGCGTGTGTTTGCCAAAGAGACAGACAGAAAGCTAGAAGTCAACCCTCCCCCTGCCCCAGGGAATGGCCATGCTGCAATCCCTTTTCCTCCATTCTCCTCTTGGGGTTTTAGGCATGCATGCACATATGCCCAGCATGATTTTCAAGCCATAGGGTATGGAACTCGAACCATGGTCAACCACGTGAGAGTCCAGTACCCTAACCATTATGCCTTCTGCTGACCCCTAAAGTAGCATTTTATGAGAGTTCTAGTTCTCCCTATCTATGGCAACACTTGGTGTTGTCTGGCTTTTTTTTAGCCATTCTAATAATTGTATGGAAGTATCTAAATTATAGTTTTAATTTGCATTTCCCTAATGACTAATATATTGAGCATTTTTAAATAAACTTATTTATACAATATATCTTCTTTCGTGAAGTTTCTATTCAAATGTCTTGCCCATTTTTTAAAAAGTAGGCTTTTAGGGACCGGCAGATGGCATAATGATTACGTTGGTGGACTCTCAAAGAGTCGACCACAGTTCGAGTCCCAGACCTGGGGGGCTTAAAACTCACAGTGGGCATGTATGCATGTGTGCCCAAAATTCAGAGAGGAGAAAGGAGGAGAGGGGATTGCAGTGTGGCCAACCCCCCGGAGGGTGACTTCTCACTTTCTTTCTCTCTCGCTCTCTAGCGAATACATGCACTCTATAGCAAAAATCTCTCTCAAAAAAAAGTTATTTTTCATGATTGAGATTTGAGCTTTCCTTACATAACTCTGCATCTAAGTCCTTTTTTAGATATGCAACTTGCAAATGTTTGTCCTAATGCATGGTGGAATTTCTGTTTTGTTTTTCATTCTCTTGTCTTTTGAAGAGCAAAAGTTCTTAATTTTGATGAAATCAAATCTGTCAATATTTTTCTTTTATACCTCGTGTGTTTGGTGTTGCAGCTAAGAAATAGGTGCTACCCAACATTACAAACATTTTCTTTGCATGTCTTTTGACAGCCTTATAGTTTTACACTGTGTGTTTAGGCCTAGTGTTCATTCTGAGTCCATTTTTGTATTGAATGTGAGGTGTGGGTTGAGGCTCATTTTTAGCAGATGGCTATTGAATTGTTTGAGCACATTCTCTGAAGGGACCATCCTCTCACCATGGAATTGCCTTCGCACTTTTGTCAAAAGATCAATTGACCATGCATGTATGGGTCATTTCCTGCACTCTATATTCTGTTCCATTGATCTGTATCTCTGTGCTTACTCTCTCATTGCTTTTGTTTTGTTTGGCTTTCCTTAGTTGCACTTGGGCCAGGCTCACCGGCCCATTCATTTACAGATAAGCAAACCTATTTCTACACAAGCTGGTTCCACACATGACCCAAAACCCACACTTGAATCTTGTTCTGTCAGTCTTGGCCAGTGAGAAAATCAGTCTAAGTTTCAGTTCAACTAAACAATCTACTACTCACTGACATTCCAAGAAACATTGATTAAAAAGAAAATCCACAGTGTTTTAATAATGTAGGGCCATGATGGACTGAGACAGTGGAGTCGAGACGGTCCATTCTCTCTGCCCTGCCTTGTCTGGTCCCCCTGAGCACCCTAAGGAAGAGGCCACATGCTCTTCTTTCAGTGCCAGAGACGAAATAGGGAAGTAAGAGCCATGACCCTGTGAGGGTTAACAGTGATGGCTACACAGTCCCATTTGTAACCGTGAAGAAAGAACCCTGAGCAGAGGCTCACGAAGCCGGTGTATTAGAATGTTACCCCCAAAGACTGCAAGATTTGGGGCCTTTTGATTACATTCTGAAACTTGTACCTTTTAAATGTAAAAACCGTGACCAATGTAAATTCATTTGAGTTTATCCGGCTGAGTCATTCATAGAAGCATTCGAGGTCATTGTACGCTTATATCATTTAAGTATTTATAGGTTTTTATTTTTTTTCACCATAACTGTTCTGTTCTACAATTTAACAGAAAACACTGTGCTCACATTTTTTTCATGCAAAGCAGCTGTACCAGCTAACTTCAGGAAAGTGATTGAAAACAGAACCTGAGACCTCAAAATCCAGTCTGTGGTTAAGAGCCCATTTTACAGGGGAAATCTCACCATATCCAAAGAAATAAATAAAGAATTTTTTAAAAATCCTTAAGTAGTCAAAGTTCTCTAATTTGGACTGATGTTAAAGGCAGATACACTTTACCTTTTCCATTTCAGAGGAGCCCTTTTCCCTCCCTTTCTCTCGTATGGATTTGACTGTAGTGTGAGGCCGAACATGTTTTCTGAAATTTAAGCATTTTCAGTAAGAACCTGATATGACCCAGCTGAGCTGTAAAACACCTGTTAGGCCTGTCCCCAACACTGGGATGACAAAGGACGTCTGCTGAACACAGAGGGCCTTGAATTAGTCCAGTAGAACACACCTTTGTGGGGGCCCTCAGGGACTCTGGCTTAATGAATAAAGAGGAGCGATTTATAATTAGCCTAGCAATTGTGCTCAATGGGTGTTTCCAACGTGATTGAAATGTGTGCCGAAACCAAGTTGAAAAGTGCCTATAATTCTAATTACATGGTTGTTTTTTATGTTTTTCCCCCAGCTTGGAAAATCTATTTTCTATGTACAAAAGGAAAGGGAGTGTGAAAAGGCTGTTTCTTAGGAACCTACTACGTGTTCAACACATGGTGTTCATTACTTCGTGTTAGCCTCATAGAGCCTCTGAGAGGTAGATAATAAATTCCGCATGGGAGGGGCTCAAAGATGAGGTTGCTAGATCTTTATTTCTCTTAGAAAAGTGATGGCATTCCCAGGAAACTCTACCTGCCTCACAGGGACATGACAGCCTACAGTAAGTTCAAGAAGTTCAAGTGTTGGCAGTCACACCCTGGAATGTCAGCATTAGAAATCTCCATCTGAGTTAGGTGGCTGCATTGTGCCCCCCCCCCCAAGTCCCCTTGCCCACTGACAGATGAGACTCCATCAAGATCTGGACCAACAGCCCCAAATTTACCATATAGGTTCTGAAGAACCATCTCCAAAGAGTGGCGAAATTCAGTTCCTATTGCCTAGGAGCAGTTGAACCAGTTCATTGACATCTGTGTCACTCCCCACTTAAAATCTTGCCATGGACCCAACCTCTGGGGCTCGGTCAGTACCATATTGGACTACAGAGCTGGAAACCACATGCTGACCACGGTTCAAGTACCCAGCCTGGTCTACTGGAAAACATACCAGGTGTTGGTGTGCGTGTCTAGGATCCTGGAGAGCTAGTGGGAGGGGATCAGGCCATGACTGAACCCTGTGGAGGGTGCTTCTCCTGCCCCCACCCCCCCCAACCCCACCTCCCCCGTGCACCAACCACCCCCACCTCCTCCGTGCACATATGCCCTATCCTGAATGGAAAAAAATTCTGCCATAAGTACCCCCATCCCCACTGAGAATGGAACACGGACCACTTGCCATGGCCTCCAATGCCCTGGTTAGTATCTCCTCTTTCTGCCTCTGCCCTGCTGTCTCCCAGTCTCTCCAGAACACATATCCTTTTCCTGACCTGGGACTTTGGTTCCTGCTCTTCGTTTGGCTTGGTCCTTTCTCCCAACCCCACTTTCCTTCTCCTCCTCTGGCTCTCAGCTTCAATGACACCTTGTCCAAGAGTCTATCCTTGGCTTTGTCACATATGCCCTTCCACTGTGCTCAGTTTCACACCTTGCCTATTGCCCTTGTAGCATTTACTATTTGTAATTACATGTGGTAATTAATTTGAATACTTGGGGTTTTTTCTTTCTCTTTTTTTTTTGTTTTTTTGTTTGTTTTTTGTCAGTCTCTCCCCACTAGATGGAAACCTCCATGGAGGCAAGATCTGAGATTGTTTTAGTCTCCAGTTTATTTTCATAACCCAGGAAAAAATAGCAAAAAACCTGGCACATAGCAAAAACCTGTAAGCATTTGTCAGAAGAATAAATAAGAGGACGGGCATGCCGACATTGCTGTGTAGCAGGGATGGTGTCCAGGACAACTCGACTTCCCCAGGAGGTACCGCATGGCTCTTCATGGGTGGGACTGTGGATCATGCCAAGTTGAGTTATGTCACCTTCTTGCATCATTGCAGACTCAGGCCACAAGCATTCCTCCCTGGGACAGGAGTTCAGTGCCCATGACAGCCTGAAACTTCTTTCTAAAGAGAAGACAGAAAGTGAGAAATCACCCCACAAGGGGAATGGCCACATCACAATACCTTGTTGGAGAAATCACCCCCCAAGGGGATTGGCCACATCACAATACCTTCTCCTCCATTCTCTCAGGATCTTGGCCACACATGTACACGCACCTGGCGTGAGTCTAAGCCACCAGGTCCAGGACTCGAACCGCGGTCAGCTACATGGGAGTCTATAGCCATTACCAGCCAACTGCTGATCCTGAATGCAATTTTTATTTTGAGAGAGTGAGAGAGAGAGATTTTTTTTTCTTTTTTTGGAGAGGTTTTTGCTATAGGGCGCGTGTGCGTGCCAGACAGACAGAGAGAAAGAAAGTGAGAAATCACCCCCCGGGGGGGATGACCACACCGCAGTCCCCTCTCCTCCATTCTCCTCTCGGGATCTTCGGCACACACGCACACGTGCCCAGCATGAGTTTAAGCCACGGGGTCTGGGACTCAAACCTCAGTCGACTACACGGGAGTCCAGCGACATAGCCATTACGCTAACTGCTGGTCCCCAGAGAGAGATTTTTTTATAGAGTGTACTTGTGCTCATTGTAGAGACAGAGAAGCAGAAAGTGAGAAATCACCCCCCCTCCCCCCAGAGGGACTGGCCACACCACAATCCCTTCTCTCCTTCTCCTTCATTCTCTTCTCTGGACTTTGGGCATGCACACACATGCGCCTGGCATGAGTTTTAAGCCACTGGGTCCAGGACTCGAACCATGATAGGATTACGTGGGAGTCCAGTGGCATAACCATTACTCCATCTGTGGGGCTCAAGAATGCAATTTTGTAAACACATCTCTTTTGACTGAGAAGCTGGCAGAGCCCGGCATATACTGTGATCTCTTCCTTTCAGCTCTGCTTCCTCACACACTCCCTTTGATGGAGGACATACAAGCCATCCCACAATTCCAAGAGGGATAACGAGGAGACTCAAAGGTGCTGTGGGGGTTAGCAAGGCCCGGTGGGGGAAATTGAGGCCAGGATTCTTCCTACAGCAACGCAACTGTTTACTCCTCCTGGGAGCCTGAGCAGGTATACTGCGAGTCGTGGTGAGAGTTCTTCGGTTTCGTTGGCATTTGCTATGTGCCGAGCCCTGGAAGTGGAGACGACAACATTGGCCTCATTTTGCAGATGCATAAAGTGGGGCACACAGACTCACACAGTGAGAAAGCCTGACTTAGGATCTATCCCATCTACCCACAGTGCCAAGGGAAGATTTGGGGTACTTAAAGTTGTTGGTTGTTGCCTAAATCTAACCTTCCTCTGACATGGAGTCTCCAATGGGTGGTGTCCAGCAGCCAGTGGTCCAGGCCACATGCAACCTCTGGAGCAAACTGTCTCAAACTTGCCATTCTTTGGGACCCAGACTAGCGGCCACACAGTGGATGCAAGAAAAATCCCTTTGTCTGGACTCAGCTCGGAAAGGGATTGAGACATGGAACTCATCCAGAGGCTGTGGCAGCCATTTTGCTGCCCAGCAGTGCAAAGTTGTTTCTTTATAAAGATGATGTCAGGTAGGAGCACCGTGGGTTAGCTGATGTCGTCTTCAGTCCCAGGCTGTTCGATTCTTTACTGGTATGGGCTTTGCATCTGACCAGGCTAGACTTGGACCTATTAAATCTCTTTCTGGCTTCTGACCTCAGACAAATATTGGATCATTGGAAAAGTCATGATATTGTGTTTTTGCATAAAAAACAATGTCATGACTTTTCTGATGACTTTTCACTTCTCCACTTCCTCATTTGCAAAGTGAGTGCAATGCACATAGCTCTTAAATGTTGTGAGGATGAGCCGGTGGATAGAAAGCACAAATGGCACCCAGCTCGTAGGTTTTAGCTGCTGCTGTTATTTCCATGTGAGCCACACCAACCACCTTGTCTGCAGGGAAACCAGTGGGCTGGGTGGCCACCACCACCCTCCATGCCCCACAGCTCCTTCCTCAGCAATGGCTCCACCCCTCTTGCCCAGCTCACAAGCCCTGCATTGTTCTTGCTTTGCCTCCTAGACCAGGAGTAAGGGCTGTCCGCCCAATCAGCAGCTGCCCTGCCCAGGGCGAGGCTGCTGCCTGCTCTTGGCTGCAAGAATTGAAAGAGGAGGTGGTGGCTGTTGAGTGACACACCTGGGAGACCCACCCTTGGGGGAATTCCCAAGAGTAAATTCCAGCTGCCACTTTTTGTGATGGGGGTTTGGGAATTGGGGCCGAATGACAGATCCAACCAGACTGAGGGTGAGGAGGAGGCTGAACTTTGTTTCTGGGTTACTTTCAACATGATCTTCAGTAGATTCATGTGTCAGGAGTCTTTCTCAAGTTCAGGCTACACACCAAGTAACACCCGAACCTGAAGGGAACAAAGGCCAGTGAACAAATAAGTACGACCAAGTAAAGGGTGGGGAGGACGCAAGATGTCAAGGAGGGCTTCCCAGAGGAGGAACCTCCGAGGACGCATCTGTTCTCTCCTTGCCCTACTTCCTGGAATGACTGATTGCTGCACACGAAGCAAGGAGAGTCAAGCCCTTGATCATGCCACCGTCTGACCACGGGGTTTTGCCTGGGTTAGGAGCAAAGTCTGGAGCCAGGCACACCAGGATGACATCCCTGTGTCACCACTTTCTAGTTCTGTGACCTTAGCCAAGCGTGCCGTCCTCTCTGAGCCTCTGTTCTGTCACTTATAAAATTAGGACAATGGACGAGGCGTACAGGTAGTGTGCTGGCACGTGAAAAAGGCCCAGTAAGTGTAAGCAGTTTTTATCAGGAGAGCAAGCTGGACTTTTAAGGATTTAAACAGATCAGGGAGACCTCACGGTGGGCTTCTGCCTAGAAAGCTGTGGGACCCATCAGGACAGGGAGGCCAAGGAGGAGAAACACAGCTGAGAGAGCTGGAAGGGAGAGCCCTGCACCTTCCAGAGGTGTGGAAGAGAAAGGCTTATAGAGACTGGATTGAAAAATGATGGAGAGGGTGTGAAGACAAGAAGGGGGGAAAGAGGGAGTTCCAGAAAGAAAGCTGAAGTGAGTTGGGAAAAGTACAGTGTGCGGAGACAGAAGTGGATGGATGAAGTGTGATAAGAAGATTATGGGCTGCTGAGAGCTCGCGTGGGCAGTGAGGAGGGAGATGGCGTTGAAGGAGAGGGAAGAACTTTGTCCTGATAACCAGATGGATCAGAGGTAATGACGTGCCAGGAGGGAGCAGACAAGTGGGAAGAGGGAGAGAAATTGAGTTGTGTGGGCCAGTGTGGCCCACCAGAGGGGCTGGAGAACCAGTAGAAAATGTCCTTCAGAGACTCTGTGTGTGTGTGTGTGTGTGTGTGTGTGTGTGTGTACATACATGTGTGTGCCAGCACCTGCACAAGCACACATCCCAGCAGATCTCATCTGAAGGGCCTCGTGTATAATTTCAGGTGCACAAGATCAACACTTGCCGGGGCCAGCAGGTGGTGTGGGGTTAAGGCTCTTGACTCCCCCATGGCTAGCCCTGGTTCGAGTCCTGGACTTGGCAGCTTGCTTTCTCACTTTCCCTCTCTCTCTGTCTCTCTCTGTGCCCTGTAGCAAATTAAAATAATGATGATGGTAAATGAAATTAAATAACTATTCAAAAAAGAAAAAACAGCACTTGCCTTGCACACAACAATACCAATGACAAAAATAATCTCAGCAGCAACAATAATAACTGTTATTCACCACTGATGGTGAGCTAGGCCCACTTCTGGAAACTCTAAGTCTGTCATCTCGATCTTCACAATGACCAGGTGAGGTTGGCACTATTGCTTCCCCATTTGAGAAACAGGAATTGAAGTTTGAGGAGGTTAAGTTACTTGCTCAAGGTGACACGGCTATAAGAGGCAATGCCAGAATTCAGCACTTCATCCAACTGACCCAAGTGACAGGCACTTAGCAGGAGTCCAAACTCCCTTTAGTTGATAATCCCTCCAAGTAATGTCTTCCTTAGAAAGGAAACAGAGCTGATGGACCTGAGAGGCAAGCAGACTGGCCAAGGTAGGACCAGTATTCCGCTCACCCCTGTGGAGCCTCGAGGTCTGGAAGTGAATCAGATCCACGTTTCACACTGACATCCACGCACCAGTCCGTGGAGGACGACAGCGGTCATAGCCAGGAGCTCTTCTATCGTCAAAGAATTGGGCTGGTTCTGTGGCACAGGGGTAATGAGCTGCTTAGGACAAGTGGCAATCATAGTTCAAACCCCATTCCATCAGCCTGAAATCCCCTGGGCATAACGGCTGAGTGAATGAGCCAGCGGGCTGGAGGACTGAAGAGAAGAGCCAGTGGAGAATGCGGAGTTCACTCTCTCACGCCCTCTCTTTATCTCTCGCTCATGCTCGCACACATGCATCTCTATCTTGAATTAAAAAAAAAAAATGTAAGAGCGAAGCCACTAAACAGTTTGCAGCCTGCCAACTGCCTCTCTTGGTGGCTTTGGAAATGGATATTTAAATGTATCTGTGGTCACACTTGCTACACAAAGGAGGAAAGACCTATGCTTTTTGGTTTTGTTTCTGTTTTGTTTTTTCTTTTTGAAACTCTCATAAAGAGTTTTTTTGTTTGTTTTTTAAGATACATTTTTGCTATAATGCAAGAAATTACCCCCCAGGAGGGAGGGCCATACCGCAATCCTTTCTCCTCCGTTTTCCTCTTGAGATTTTGGGCACGCACACACACGCACCCAGCATTTTTTTTAAGCCGCTGAGTCTGGGACTCAAACCGTGGTTGACTACGTGGTGAGGCCAGAGACATAATCATCACACCATCTGCTGACCCTAGACCCGGTGTTTTAATGATGCAATGCGACTTTTTCTGAAAAGGCATCAAGAAGGCTCGGACAGGATTTATTTTGCCCTGAGGGTCTGAAATGCTGGTCTAAATCCAGCTAGGGGAGCAGAAATTTGTCGGAAGAAGTCTGGACAGTCACAGTTTTTCCACCCTGACTCAAACTCTGATGGTAACTGCTGATGGCAGT